TGGTGAAAGGCATACTGCTTTTCAGATTTTTATACTTAGTTGCTTGCATCTGTCTCTTCCACCTTCAAACTGAAAAAATCACTCCTTATTTTTACTTACAGCCTGCAGAGTCACTGACAAGCTTCTGCTCCTTTTCTGGACTTCCAGAGGGAAGAAAGGAGCAAGGCAATGCAATCAGTCATGCCAGGACATTTTCTTGATTCCTTGAAAGTGACAAATCGGAGGTACAGCTAGGATCCTACCTAGAATCTGACATCTGCCACAAGTCAATAATGTAATTTGGCTTGTGGAGATGTTCTGAGCACAAGTGAGATTCTTTACTTCCTCCTACACCAACCTATGAGATAATGCAGTATTTGACTTCTTTCTCCCGATGCACGGCACAAAGTCAAAACACAGTGCTCTTGCCAATAGAGATGGGAGCTGGACTGCTCACATTTGGGAGAGGACATGTGTCTGGGCTGTGTGCAGTTTGTAAGGTTCAAAACTCCATTCACTGAATTTCTTGCTTACCTGATCTTTAAATTTAAATTGTTGCCTCTTCATTTTAACAGAATGCTAAATGTATCATACTGCCAGTGTCAGCCACTACAGTTGTTCCAAGGGAAGGCTTCTGAAAAGGTTTCTTTGCAAGTGCTTGACTTCCTGAGATCACATTTCAGTCATAATCCAGCTATCGAACTACTCTGCAGGTGACATCGCTGAAGTATGACTTGGCTTAGAGGAAAAAACACCATTTGACAGTATTTCCTGACAGAGTAACCTTTTTTAGCTATTTATTTGCACAATACCAGTGAGGAAAACGCCTGCAAAATATGCTAAATTTGGTTTGGAGATACCGAAGTTTATCAGTACAATATTACTGCAAAACACAGAGTCCACAATCTACCTAAAATACATGTGCAAAACCCCTAAGAAGTCAGTATTACATAGCTGACTTCAAGTGCAAAAATACCTCCCTCATCAATCCTTGCAAAAAAGTCCGTATGTCAGGCAAGAATAAAAATCTCTAGAAAATGAGTAAAATTCAGGTACTGTTTTGCTTCATAAGAAAAAGAAAAATTAGCCACATTCAGGGCAGTCTTTCTCCAAATCGCTAACTAGAAGAAAATCAAGCGCTGAAATGAAAATTACCAAATCTACAGAAAACATCAACACATCAAGATAATTAAACCTACTAAAAATCATCCAGGAGGCTGCTAAGTGGATAGTCTCATATACTAGATAACTGAGGAAAAGCAAAAGCTAGTTGCACATGTCAAAATACCAATGACTTTAAAAATGCCAAATCCTCTTATATTTTCTTAACAGCTTGCACATACCACTTACTATTTAAGATCACCATAGAGCAGTAATAGAAGTATTCATTGTTAATTCTTTCATACACAATGAATATAAAATTGCCAGTGCTCCTTACATGAATAGCCACAGAAAATTTGCAGAAGCATTATCACTATCTCAAAGTGACATCAGAACAGGACAAGATTACCATTTGCTTATTTACAAAGAGATAATGAAAAGCATCTTGTAGTCATTATATATTTACTTCCTTTTACAATATATAAAGCTGTGTGCTCTAGTCATTTGTTTTCCCTTGCCCCCTTCCTTGGGTGCAAACGTGTTAAGATCCAAGTGGTTACGTGTTGCTATCAAGAAAATGGGGAACTTGAATATTCTTTTCTGTAATGTCTGATCAGATACGCTGACATCTTAACTCTCCACGGAAGTATATGAACTAGACTGCACACACATTCTTTAAGAACAGAAACTAAGCTTCAGCTCTGAACAACAGAAATATTCATCAATTTCAGGGTTACCTTCTACTGGCATTAATTAAAATCCCTCAGAAAGATTATTCTGGGCAAATCCTCAGCACAGTGCTCAGGAAAGTACTCTCATGAACTCTTCAGCTGTTTTATCACTGCCGTGGAGAACCTCTTCTCTTTAACCTCAATATGTAGGGTTTCTTTGTAGTGTATCAGGACACAACATAGCACTGGGTTTATAATTACCACTACAGTTTTGACGTAAATAGTTTTTGTTGCCCCAGAAAAAGCGCTCCTAAAAGCTTCTTAGAATTATGCAATGTACTGTGAGAATTCTGTTTTACAGGGGTTTTTTTGCTTATACTCTTCTATTACTGAAGATAAGACAAATAGTCAGCATTCATTGGTAGCTCATCTATACATGTGCTTATTCCCTGAATTCACACTCTGATCCCCATCTTTTTCTTCCACACTACTTCCAAAGCTACATAACAAGCAAGGAAAATAATGAAGCTGAACCCTTTCAATAAAGAAGTTGTTCTTTTGAGAAAGTTAGTTTAATGATGGTTCAATACCTGCATTCATCCACACCTAAAGATTAAGAATTGATGTATGCAGCAAATAATAGAAGTAAAACCCTGAAGAACAAGGAACTAAATTCCTGATGATTACCATCAGAAGACAGAACAAAGGACTTACTGGAACTGGATAGCAACAGAATATATTTCTGTAAGATTGCAGTGTATTTTTACATTTTTATATTCAACACAAATTCTGAGAAATATCAGAATTTCTACAAGTTTGTGAATTCTCAAAATGTTTGTTCAATCTTGCCTAACAATTACTGTGACCAATAGTAAAGCACAGAATTAATATTAGACTTGTTTTGCTCTTTGATGCTATATATTCTTGAAGGGAACCACAGAAAACACTTCAGTGTCTTATCTTAGGGGAAAAGGAAAGACCAACCAGAACCACAAAGCAGAAGATAAAAGCCAACAACCACCAAGAAGTGAAAGAAGCCACAAGACACAGGAAAGTAAAAGCTAAAAATGAGGCTTCTAATCAGCATTTGTTCATCTCCTAATTGTCAGGGGCATTTGCCTGTCATCAAAACTTTGGAGCCAAAATGGTAAAACATATGTTAAAATAATAAAAGCAAGTAGTTTTATTCTAGTGTGCAGGTTGCATTCAAGTTATTATCGACCTGCACCTAATTAATAGCAACAGAAAATTAAATTATTAGACAGAATTAAGAGATAAAACTCCCCATTAAGGTCCTGGTATTTCACAAATAAGCTTTGGTAGTTTGGTAACAGACAGAGCCAGCCAGATTAAAATGAAAATGGAGCTTTAGGTATTCTTAGGTTCTTTCTCTGGGTGATATAAAATGCTGTAATCTCAAACAAGACATCAAATTTCCTCAGAGAAGTGATCTTATTTGCTCCTATTCATACATGGCATGTGGTAAAGAGTTCTTCAAATTACTAGAATGGATTGCACAATAAGATCAAGAAAAAAGTTCCACACAAATCGTGGTCATCTTGCTAGATAACACATATGACTTCTTGTCCTTTTAGTGTTCTGTATCTTGGTAAGAGACAGCAAAATGAGTATCACCAAACTTCCTCTACATCGTTACCTTTCTGCACACAAGAAGATACTTTCACTATCTTACCTAATCTTGCAAGCCCAGACATGTCATATCTTGAACAAGAAAATTTTTAGAGAATCAGTTTCTTACAAACAAGAAATAAAAGACAAACCTATATGCAGTTAATAGACTTCAGCATCTGTTTTCGTATTACTGGGGGTGTGGGAGGGAAATCAGAACTGATAATTTTTTTCAAACACATACTGAATGCATTTCTTAGCATAGATTAAAACAGATGATGTATGTGAGGATAAAACAGTACCTAGAAGTGTCATTCACCTGTTCCTTACCCTTTATTCTAGGTGTGCTTAATTATCCTTTGCTTATTCCACCCAAGTTGTAAATTAACATAGACCTTCAGATGATTAATAAATGCTAGCATGTCTTTTCTCTAAAGGGATTTATGGAAAAATGTCTTCACTTGGGAGGGCATTAAAATAAGGTAAAAGAATAAATTTATAAACCAGACTGCATGTGTGTTAGGGTCCAAACAGTCTCTAAATGAAAAATGTCTAAAACTGAATCACCACAAGATGTAAGTATATGAAACTTTCAACCAATACTCAGGTCCTCTGTGTCCATCAATTCGTTGACAAAAAATGATAGGGAGAGCAGAGAATTAGTCAGGGAAAAAGCAGAATTTTGTAAGAACAGAACCTAAATTCATAGTAGGGGACACCATCCACCCCACTGATCAACATGAAGGTACTACAATGAGTGATGCACAATTAACCAGTTACACACTAAAAAGGCAGTACAACACATCACAGACAGTTTCCAACAAAGTCAGCAACAAACTCACCTGAAGGCACTGGTACCATTAGTAAGGCAACTGATACAATTATACCCTGAATCAGTATATTAAAAGCAAATCTTTTAGTAGGTGATGACAACTGGAATACATTAACATCAACAGTATTAACTGGGGCCTTGATCCATTATGTACTGTTCATCCATAATTACAAAATTTTAAATGGACGATGCAGTAGCATATTAGAGCATTCTAAATACTTCCTAATCTTTTTATAATATATATTAAGCATATCCTTGACCAAGAAGAGTGGAACAAACCATTTGAAAATATTCAGCTCTGCTGGCAAAAGAGGTAACACCAGTAGATGAAGAAAAACCTGAAAAAAATCATCCTGCTTCCCTATTAAAAGCCAAGAATAAGAGCAAACTTTGCATGTAGGAGATTTTTTTTCCAAAAAAAAAAATCATTCTTTTTGCCATTGGTAAGTTTTTTAGTAGCAAATATATTCCACAATATACTATATACTAACTTTGCATTTCTGTAATGAGTTTTCAGCATTTTTTTGAAGCAACAGGTTAGCACATGAAATAAAAAGCCTAATCCCCTTTGACCAAAGACAGTCTTATAAAGCATAACAACCCTTCTAGGCACAAATGTATCAACTGTGACAGGAAATTTACATTGTTACACAGCCAATACCGGCTTTTCATGAAAGACCAGGCTTCATACAAGTAAGACTGTCATTATATAGTATTCCTCTAGATGTTTTCAAAACTTTGGCACATTCAAAAAATGCAGAGAGAGAAAGAGATGGACTCCAAAAAATATATGCAAAGGGTGTTACAGAACAATGAGAAACCATAGTAAGACCCTTTCCTGAACTGTAAAATAATAGCAGTAACAAGGGAGAAAGAGAAAAGATGCTGGTTGATTTTGCTTGAATGTTGTCACTTGCAACAGAAGTGGCCTGGATCACAGGGCAGTTTTCTTTCTAAGGGCAAGGCTTCTCTACCTTGCTGTTGCTGGCTGGACATGACCAGGGTAAGATCTCCTTGTGCTCGTGGCTTGCCTTTGTCTAGCCAGGAAGGACTGTCCTGAGCCTGTACTAGCCAGTCTGTCTTCTGCTGCTTTTTTATGCAGAGTCATTCCCTATGGACAAAGAGAAACTTCTCAGTGAGTACCAACACATAACACTGAACAACTTTACTCATTTACATTTTGTTTATTATCTCCTTCACCAACACTGACTAAGCTATTTTGAATTTCAAACAGGAAGCATCGTATTTTCAAGGGTAAAAATAAGATATTCTTCCTAATTCTTTGTGTGCCTCTCACCCCCATCCATTGTCCAAATTTGGAGTAACTGTTGAGAAGCAGGTCCCCCAGTGTCCCAGATCTGAACATATGCTTCTCCACATAGACACATGGTAACTGGACAAGTCTTTTCAAAAGTGCTTCCCCTCCCCATGCTTGAAAAGTGCTTTTCTTTGAAAATAATTAAAGTATTGTCATCCTCTGTGAAAATACCATCTCACATGGCAGGAGCACATCTTGAGAGAAACTATGGAGTAAATGCAAGAAGGAAATGAGGGAAGCTGTGATGGGTTGTGTAGCTGTGTATAAAAGCAGAGGCTAATTAGAAAAAGACACAAACCTATCAATGATCATCTTAGTGTTCATGACAGGCTATTGAACCACAGCTCTTAGCTCAGTCTTGTCAGTGTGACTAATGTTATAAAATTGTTCAAGGACACTAGTCACCTGAAGATGTCTTCAATATTTATAGGATTGAAACACTCTGCTGAAGTACCATTTTTGGCTTACTATTCATGGACACAAGAAGAATGGAGAACAGTAAGAAGGAAACTCTTCCAAGGGAAGACAGAGAGGAGGAATTTGAACTCTGTGATAAAGCAGAATGTTACACAGGTCAGGGATTCTTTCTATCTGAACTGCAGTTTCGATGCAGCCATACTCTGCCAAAGAGAAGTCTTGAACACATTTGACGAAGGTCAAAAATCTCCTGGCATAGAGGCCCATCAAAAGCTGTATGACTGCACAGATCACTTCCTTATCATTTGACTAATTGAAGTGAGGGTCTTGCCCCATGCCCACCCTTTGCATGAAGCTAAACCTGCACCCACGTTAAAGGGGTTGCTTCTCAGAACACTTACTGCAGCAAGCAAGCTGTATTGCTTTTCTTGTGCATCTTCATTAGAAACAACTGGAAGATTGGAGAGTGGAGAATCAAAGAAGAAAGTAAATTTGAGTACTGTAAGTCAGTATAGCTGAAGGGCTGGAATTACAAAATAGTAATCTGAGGTATCCTTCCCTCTAGAAAGTGCCATTTCTGGTTTTAAAACTCAAAAATAACAAACACGTTCTTTTTCATTTACCCCAAGGTTATCATAGGAAAATACTCTTATATAGTGAAAGCTTAGAATTATTAAAAAGCATTTGTTTCTGTGTCTGTGTGTTGGAAAATGCTTTTCAAACAAAAAAATTGTAAATGAATGAATACTGTTATAAACAACCCAGAAAGAACTAATATTAAGTGTTTCATTTCTTTTTGTTGTTGTTAAAAAGCTTGGTAGATTCTTACCATATTGTACCAGGCACTAACAATAAATTTCTCTTCCATTTCTCTTTGACTTTTTGTTTTCTCATATTCTTTCTATAAAAGATCAAAAAAGCATACATTTAAAACCAAAGTATAATAAAAGTCTATACTTAAAAAACAGTGGCGAAATATGCATCTAACAGGAAACATGAGGATTACTACCTCCAATGAATGAAACATTCTGTCCCGCTCCTGCAATTGATTTTTCAAAGCCTGAATCTCAGGAGCTGCACCCTGGTTCTGCTTGGGATCTAAGGTGCGGATGACCTGTAAGAGAAAACCAGTTTGTTTTTAATTAAATCTTGCAAGAAGCAATCTAACTGAAGGAAAGGACATCAAGGAGTTAAAACCTTTTAAGTCAGGTTAAGAAATAAGAAAAGTGACTTAAAACATGTCAGTGGTAAAAAATGACACTGCAAAATATGAAACAGAGGGATGTGACCAGCAGGTCAAGGGAGGTGATTCTGCCCCTCTGCTCCACTCTCATGAGACCCCACCTGGAGTACTGCATCCAGCTCTGGGGTCCCCAGTACAGGAAAGATGTGGAGCTGTTGGAGCAGGTCCAGAGGAGGGCCATGAAGATGATCAGAGAAATGTAAGAGCTCTCAAAGGTGGTTCAGTTAAAAAGATCATTTTACTTGGAAAAAGCATCAATAAAAGAGTTCATATTAAAGCAGTTTCAAAACCAGTTAGCTAAACTAGAACATGAATAGAAATCAGGGGAAAAACATGAACAAAGAAAGCAAAATCAAAGTTAATTGGTAAAGATGGCTCTGGCATATGTGTAATTACCTCTGTCTGTAAATTCTGAGCCCCTCAAAAACAATAAGCAATTTATGTGAGCAATTAGGACCTGATGAAATCTGAAGTGCCTAAAAGCTCTATTTATAAAAAAAGTGTATCAGATTACCTGCACCAGGTAAGAGAGACATTAGTGACTTGAGCACCACAAGAAGCCTACACCATCCAGAAAAACACATAAACAGATCCAGCCACCTGTGAAGGAAAGAACTCCAAACTTCCTTTTCCCTCTCTGCCAAAGTGATAAAACAAGTAACTCGGGGTTACTAAGGTATATTTGTGTGTAGTAAGAGGTAGAACTCTTTATGATGACTGTGCCAGAAGTTCCCAGAAGTCCCAGCACAAATGCCAATTAAAACATACGTTTGCTCACAGAGCTTCCTTCCCTTGAGGTGGTTTAGATGGGTGGTTCTCCAATTCTAAAATGCAGCACATCTATTTCAGTTATTTCTGTACCACCAGTCCTAGTACTGACAGCACTTCAGCTGATCTATACATTTATCACTCAGAGACAGAAGTCCAGAAGAATTTCCACAAAGAAACAGGTTATCACAGCATTAGGAAGAATTTAACATCCTCTCCTTGTCATCAGCCAACACAAAAGTGTGCTTAATAAGGTTTGTCTGGATGACTCTCAAGAATCTGTAGCAATGGGTATACATTTGTACAAAGGCATCAGAAGGGCCTATGGATAGGTAGCAAAAGGGGACAGTCACGAACACAAAAATAGGGTAAAATCTCCTGCAGAATTAATCAGTATTAGGTACTGTAACAGTAAGAAGATACAAAGAGCTCACTGGGCCTTCCTTCTCTTTTACTCACTAGCGTGTCTACAGATCCCTCCTTTATTTTTATTCCTGCAGAGTGGACATGTGGTGCAGTCTGTCAGAGAGGGATCATTAATGTTGAACACATATACTTACACTTTTGGCCTTTTCCAAATACTTCTTGTATCGCTCTTCCATTTGCTTCATTTCCTCCTCCTTTTTCCGTAAAGCTTCTTGTAATTCTTCAATTTTGAGTGCTTTACGTCAGGAGATGCACATATTGGAAAATAACATAATTATATTATGTTTATGTTTTTCAACACACATTTAAAGCACAGCTAGAATTTATTTCAGTTAAGAAAAGCTAACATACGGAACCTGATGTAGCAGATACCAGAGTTTTAATTACTGAACAGCTCAGAAATATATTAGAAACGTGTACTCCTATATAATCTCATGAGATGGCTGTTTTGTTCACAAATACTGCTTTTTTAAAAACTATGAAAAAATAAAGGAGAAATGGAATCATAAATCAATCCCATTACTGAACAAACTTTGAAAATGAGTTTACTAGTGAGTTACAGATTCCATAATATCTTGGTACTGTAGGTCAGATAAACATGAATGTTCCTATTTTACGTAAGAGGAATAATTCTTAACAGTCACACCTCTTGTTTAAATCTGCTAAACTTTAACACTGGACACAATTGATCAGACTTGTGACATGAATACACTCAGTGTAATTTCCCCCCCCACATTTTCTTAAGCAGCAATGCAGACCAGTAAGACAATTTCAATGCACAGCCATCTTAGCAATAGGACATATGTCCTACATTCTTTGACCAGTGTCTGAAAATTTTCTCATACTACAACACAGTTCTGAAAACACACAGAAGGAATACATATTTGGAGCAAAAATAAGCTGGTGATGGCAGCAAGGATCTCCTAAATTAGGGTCTTAGGAGACATGACAGTTCTGAACAGCGGAGGTTCAATGACAGGTATGACAGTGACACGGTATTTCTATGGCCATTGTCATTTCTTACTATGCTGGTCTCTAAAATGTGATTCCCTGCATTTCAAGTGTTAGAAGCATCTTTTTGGTGACCACAGCTTCCTGAGAAATTAACAATATATATATCACTGTCATTTATAATGTATATTTTGTTTATCTTGCACCTCCTACAGATATTATAATTAAAGACCTTGCACATGAAATATTTTACAAAGAAAAGAAATGGACTGCATAGGTAACTCACAACTGTTATTGCATCTTGGTTCCAAATCCTCTATAATAGCTCGTTTCTTCTGTAGCTCATTGTTAGCTTCATGGAGCTTCTCACTGTTACAAACCATAAAAGCAGACATTGTTTTCCCCAATATTATTGCTGTGCTTGAATGATCATTAAGCAACACAAAAAAACCCTCAGATAGTGATATATTTCTGGGAGGACAATTGATTTTTGCTGTGGGGCATGAGGACAAATGACAATGTCACTGTGAAAATATTTGTTAAATAAGCTGAACATTACAGCGTATGGAGAACTGTAACAACAAGCAGCTTCATTCTCAATAAACATAAATTTAATTTACAACTTACAGTTAATTGTACAATGCATAACTAAAACAAATACTTGTAATTGAGATTACATTGAGAAAAAATGGCTAAACCCAAAGGCAACAGAAACTATTTTTTTTTTCTAGCCAGCCAAAAAGCAAACAGCTCTTTGCATTTTAGGGAAGTAAGAGAGGCATAGAGTTAGCAGAACAAAATAACACTTCCTAAAAATGTTACCTTTTATGCCATAATGTATACTAAAACAGGCTTTCCTCAGAACAAAATTACTTAGTCCTCTTGAGTAAAGATTTACACAATATTAAGCGTTTTCTAACCACCACAAAATGATAGTTCCTTCATCGCTCTTATTGATTTCACAAAGTTTTTTTATGAGATGAAAATCATATCTGAACAGCAGATTCCCAAACATCCCTGTGTTATCTAACTTGTCTTAGTTGTATATTTTCCAGATGCACAATTAATGACTGACTGCCTTCCTTTCCATATGGAAAACACATTTCAAAATGGCAAAATAGGTAAATAAAATACTTACAGATGTTCTTCAAGTTTCTTTTTCAGAAGAATTGACTAAAATAGAAAGTATAATATTTTATTTTAATATATTGTGGAACTTTAACATAATTTCAAAATTATTTTAAAACAGATGATTTTGACATTCTAACCAAAATCCAACTTTTTACTTCACTCAGTTTTAGATCACAACTGTAAAGCCATCCTCTGTGGTAGCAATCCTTCCCTCCACAGCTGTGTGAATTTCCTGAAATTAAAGTGCTTTATAACTTTACAAATATTTACCCAGGAACTAGATCAATAAAAGCAAGATCCATAAACAACACAATTCTATGGCAGTTGTTTTAATTTCTTCACTACTTTTGTAATTAAACTTAGTAAATTAACCCGAAATTGGAAAGTGCAGCAAAATTTGCTGGAAGAGCTGTTCCATCAATATCGTAATGCAATTTGCATGAAAACACGTAGCAAATTAGTGAAGTAAATTCCTGTCCCCACAGAATCTAGAGGAAATAGAGTGTTTCTGACTGGAGCATAGCAGAAATATTACTGTTTCTGTTTCTCATCTTTATTAATTACAGACATGTAAAAATTACCATACAACTTACAGTGTTCCACTTTCTGGTTAAATCACATTTAGATAAGCTCTTCGAATAAAAGCTTCAAAGTAAATCTTATTTTAATTTTAAACTCACTTCATACACAGTGAGTATCTTTCAAAAAAACCCCAACAAACCCAATAAATGTCTATAAACTGAAAGTAGTGTTAAGTAAATAGAAAGCCATACTCACAATAGCCTTGAGCAGAAGCCCATGCCAAGAAACAGAGATGACATTAGTATAAAGCAAAACAGCAGCCAACAGAAGAAACTATTTAGAAAGTCATGAACATAAAAAGTTAAAGCTATGCATTTTTTCATGCTTATGCATTTTTCTCCTATGTTCTCATCAGCAGTTTCATCCTGTAACATTTTTTAAAACATACCACTAAAAACAAAAAAATAAAAATAGTAAAGAAGCACATTTGTAAATCATTATATTTAAACCAGAATTTCAAAGGAGAGCAACTGCTGTTTTGGAAAGTCATTTTAAAACAAAAAACATACAAGTAACAAAACAGGAGAAAATATGCAGTCTATTGGGCTACAACCAAAATTAAGAGATGCATGTATTCTTCGGAGTGATTCTGAATTGTGTTATTGCCACACTGATTGAATACAAAACAAATGTAAAATAATTAAATCAGAAACTTTTTGGTTTGTATTTATCCAGTACCAATCACATTGGAGGTCTAGCATGTGACCGATGGTCCAGAAGGCCATCACAATATAAGATAAAATCAACAAAATTACTTCATTTTTTTCCTCCAATGGTCTTTCAACAACGGTTTAGACACTTGGCCAACAGAGACAATTATTGTATGCACCCAAAAAAGCTTTCAGCTTTGTTACAGTGCAAATACTTCAGAATACTGTCTTCGATCACATTCCTGGGTCATGCTTTTTCATTATTTCAAGGTTGGACTTCCTTATCGCCCTCTAAGGGGAGTGGGGGGTGGGGGTGGTGCATATGAAAAAAAGCCAACATGACTCTACTGACTTCAGAGTCAGAGATTTGTAGCAGCTAAGGACATGCAGATTTTGACATCTGGCTTTCTTCTTTTCCAGTCCTCTGAACAACTGCAGCAACACCACCTTTTCTGTAACAATAAATGTTTGTATGCATCTTTCTTGGTCACAAAGCATTTGAGCTGGCAGCATTGCCTATGTCTGATCATTTAGGGAACTATTGGACTAAGAAAAGGAAAAGTTGGCAGCAGTGCCCATTTTCCTAAGGTATGAAAACAAAAATTGAACTCAGCTTTTCTTTTGCAATCCTTGTCTTGCACTTGGGTTTAGCTTGGAACAGACACAACTACTTGTCAACATTGACTCCACCGGTATATTTTCATATATATTATTTGCATAGTACCAGCATTGTTGTGGGAGTAAGCCCTCTCCCATCTAGACAGATCATATGTTATCACAAGCAAGAAACTAACAATGATAAACAGCACACACAATTAAAAGAAGCAGGACTGAGTTTACCCAGAGTAATTTACCCAAGATGCAAGACTAGAAAAAAGAACACAAGGTGAAATGTGCGATTTTAGCCACCAAAGATCCTGTATATAGTTATAGCAAGACAGATAAATTCAAATAATTTATGCTAAAAATGGGCAAACATTACTTTTTTTTAAGTCTGTCAGCTTCAAATCCACGTATCCAAATCCTCTGCTCCTAACAAGTAGTTACTATAATTGTATTTCTCTCATAGGATGATCAGTCTCTCAAAAAAAACCCAATTGAAAAAAAAAAAGCTTTATCTTATTGTGAACTAGTTTTACATTTAACTTTCTTCAAAAAATTTATCTGTTCATAACAGAAATGCATACTCTTTATTTTACTTTTTCCCCCCACTCCTAACAAGTTCCACTTAAAAAACAGCAGGAAAAAAATACTTCTTATGCTGTGGTTTTAGAAAAGTATCCTCCCCAGTATTTAATTGCTATCTTTATTTTACTTCAAAAAAACCTGCAGAAATAAAGTATTTTCCCAGAAATTTTTTTCATGCTTAAACAAGCCAAAGAAATAGGTCTGCCCCCATTTTGAGGACAAAGTTTGTTTCTGTTCTGCATGTTAAGGCTGCAGGCAGATGGTTAGGCTCTGGCTTGAGGTTAAGATAACTTAGCAGGGTGAGGGAAATTATGGTACATGACTTGAGAAAATTGCTTGATGAAACTGGTAACACTGTGAAAAGGTGACAGAAATTGTAAACAGCACCATGAGGGATGGTCAGATTTCACAGACACTAAGAGTAATCATAGAATGGTTTGGGTTGGAAGGGACCTTTAAAGGCCATCTAGTCCAACGCCCCTGCAATGAGCAGGGACATCTTCAACCAGATCAGGTTGCTCAGAGCCCTGTCCAACCTGACCTTGAATGTTTCCACGGATGGGACATCTACCACCTCTCTGGGCAACCTGTTTCAGTGTTTCACCAAATGAGCAAAGCAGCTGAACTTCACAGGTAACCAAAAAGGTAACAGAGTTTTGGGGACCTTTCAGGGAGGTGCCAAGTCAGGAAGACTGACTAAATGTATCAGTAACAGCATATAAGACCATATGAGAAACACTAGATTTGATACAGATTTAGCAAGACTAGGTCCAGTGGAGTAGAAGTAACTAAAGGCAAGTTGTTTATAGAGGGAGGGATTAGGGCAGATAAAGGGAAAACAAGGATGACAAAAGAGAGTGATAGTAAGGCATGCAAATGAGGTAGTCAAAGCTGTTCAGGGTGCCTGTTGAGCAGCCCTACACATGACCACTGCATTCTGGAGGACAATAAATCAAACCTGCAACTCTGACCACACTAAGCATGTCTGTGTTAATTCTGTAGCCTGCCTTTCCCTGGCAACAGCCAGGATGCATCCCAACAGGATGTGTCAGTGCCCATTACAAGTCTAATGGCACTGATACCTTCCTAACACCTGCCTTCCACTGCACGTCAATACAAAATCGAAACTGCTTCCCCATGTGTATCTCAGCAAGCAGCACGTATCATTGCAATGATACTTGCCTGGGTTAGGATAGTGCTTTTACTACTTTTTGGGTAAGCCTAAACATTACTTCAACTTTGAAAACAAACAAAACTAAAAAAAAAACCAAACCAAAACACTCATCATACATTTCCGGACTGAATACCAACAGGATCTTCAGTTTTCTGGGTTGAGCATATTTATAGTATAAGTATACAAAAGTACAGATTTCAGTGCATTGTTGCAGAAAAACAGTGAAAAACAGAGGAAATATGCTGAAAATGATGCATCACTGAACTGTACGCCATATCTCTCCTTAACCTTCTTATGCTTCTGAAGAATCACTCTTTTTATATGGGTATCTTAACTCAGGTGGTCCCAGCACAACTTCCATCTACTTGAGCAGCTGGGTTTAACTTTGAAGTTGGCTCTGCCTGTGTGGGAGATTGGATGAAGTGTTCATACCTTCAGAGGTTCTTGTAGCTTCAATACTTCTCTGAGGCTACACTCGCTCTTTTGCTTCTTTAAGAGTAAATGAAATCCTACACATTGAACTCAGCAAAACAGGCCATGGGATTAGTGCCTATAAATCACCACTGGCATGGTCAGACTACACATAAACCTGGAATGCAGCAACTGCATCATGACCTTGCCAGCTCTGCTTTGACAAGGGCTGCCTGGTACACACAGCAGGCTGTACCGTGGTGTTGTGATGGTGGTGTTTAGCTGTTAACAGCATCGTGTCAGATGATGCCTAGGTAGTCCTGTGTAGGACTACAACTAGTCCTGTTATGGAGCTGCAGACATGTCTTAAACTATTCCAAACCAGAGCCTCAAAAAGGGACACAAAATTACAGTAAATAAAGCTTAATTCAATTAGACAGGAATCATTTACAATACTCAATAACTAAGAATATTTTTTTCATATTCTTGTTCACCCTAAAAAATCTGATGTTGGCCAATAAGCAAGAAAGCAAAGAATAGCTCAGAATCACATAATAGCATGGACCTGTTTTAAAACGCATTCTAAAATGCATTCTAAGTTACTTAGGAACCCAACTAGGTGTTCTTTCATACAGTTTATTCTGAAAATGAAAAGGATAAGCTGAATTAAACACACTCTTAAATGAAAATAAGCAGCTAGTAAAAACTTCCACTGTTTTACATAAATTAAAACAAAACCACAAAAATAGAAAGAAACACATTAAAACTTGTTGCCAGTTAGCAACACAATACACTGAGATTGTGAGCATACACTGTGCATGTACAGTCCTGCAAATCACTGCTTTCAAAAAAGTTCTAGAGCTTCTTCTCTCAAATACAGGAGATGGCAAACACAATTTTTGAGTGGAAGACTGAAAGTTGTTTTCCACACTTAACTCTGCCACAATGTGTATTTTTACATTAAGAATGAAGTTAACTCCATATACAGAAACAGAAAAGTGCTGCATTACATTGAGGGCCTAATTATTTAACTTTTTTTTTTAGTTTTAGCGTGCCTGGCTTCTTGCATTGTAAGATACATTTACATTCACAATTACAGAGCTTCCACTGGCAGGAAAAGCCTTGACTTTCATTAAGAAAACCGAACCAAAAATAACTTCAGATACTTTATTAAGATATGGAGAATTCACATTTCCTTAATTCCCTGCAAAACTCTGTTCTAATTAAATAATTTTAATGCTAAGTTTACTATTGGAATAGACACAATTAAATAAAACACATTTGACACCTTTTCTACATAGGATATTTTTCTTTTCTAGACAAATATCTTACTGTGTCTTACATGCTATTTAGAGAAGCACAATTTAGTGGTAAGACCATAGGAGTAAATATGGAAAACTATCCAAAATCTCCACTTGTGTATTTCTTTTAGATTTTTTTTACAAAAAGTTGAAAGTTTCGAAAATGGTAATTACTTGAAAGTAAGTTTGATGCACATTTCTACTTACATCTTCAGCTTTTGAACCTTGATCCTGCAAAGACTTTTGTAGTTCTTCAACCTGGGACTGCACTTCTAGAAGTCTCTGATTTACCAATCTAGGAAAGAGATTACATCTTGGGGTTTTTTTCAGGAAAAAACCAAAAAACTGCAAGAGAAAGCCTGAGATTTTTAGCATCCAGTGTTTTCAGGTCATCTCCACAAGAATGCAATACTGTATTTTATTGACAGAAAATTTACAACAGCAGTTAGAGCATACAGTTCCAGAGATTACAGTCCGTAGTCATCCAGAACATTCTGATACTCTTCCAAGACAATGTAAGTGCATGTATTAAGAAATCATTTCTATATATGTGAAACCTATATAAAGAAGAGTATCTAACAGTTTTACTGTGTCTCAGCTACTAGCTTACTGCTTTTATACAGTCACAGAATCCTATAAACCTGTAGGTTCGAAGGGATCTCCAGAGTTTGTCTCAATCCAACTTCCTCCCTAAAGCAGGTGCACTTAGAGCAGATTGCTGGGAACCACATCCAGCTGAGGTTTGGACAACTTTAAGGACAGAGGTCTGACAATCTCTTTGGGACTCTCTTCTAGTGCTCAGAAATTTCTTCTGGGAATGTTTTTTTCCTTCTATTTAGTCAGAATTTCCCCATACTCCATATTGTGTCTGTTGCCTCTTGTCCTTCTACTGTCAATCTCTGAGAAGAGTCAAGCTCTGTCTTCCTGACACCTTCCCATCAGGTGTCAGATCACAGTATTATCTCCTCTATGCCACCTTTTCTTTGGCCTGAACAAACCCAGTTCTCAGTCTTATCCCACATATCACATGCTCTAGCATCCCTCCCCTTAGCAGCGTTCTGATTGCACTCCTGTATATCCATGTCTGTCTTGTACTGGAGAATCCAAAATTATATGCTATGTCCAGATGTTATTTCATAAGTACTGATTAGACATGAAGGACCTTTTTCCCAGACTGCCTGCCTGCACCCTGGCAAGGACAGCCCATGTCGCAGCCAGCTGCAAGGTCCCCAGCTGACACATCCTCCATTGCTGCCCACAGGGACCCCAGGCCTTTTGCTGCAGAGCTGCTTCCCAACCTACTGGTCCCAGCCAGCATTGCCAGGCTCCTCTCAGCCAGAAACAGGGCTCCCATCAGCTCATTTCTCTGGACTGCTGAGCCCCTCTGAGTAACAGCTCTCCCTTTCAGCATATCAATCACTCCTCCCAATGTGGTACCATCCTCAGACTTACTGAAAGTATAGTCCCTACCATCAGTAAAGTTATTAATAAAGGTGATGAACACCATTGGTCCTGGTATTGATGTCTGAGGAACTGGCAACCAGTTGGATTTTGTACCACTGATGGAAACACTTTAGGCCCAATTGTCCAACCAATTTTCCACTCACTTTACTGCCCACTTAGTCTATATCTAACCATTCTGAACATAAGGATACTATGGGAGACTGTGTCAAAGGCTTTGCTCAAGCTAAGGTAAGCATCGCCCACTCTTTCACCCTTCTTCACATAGGCAGTCATCTCATTGTCAAGATAATTAGATTAGTTAGCTATGATTTGCCCTGAATAAATTCACGTTGGCCTTTCCCAATTACTTTCTTGTCCCTCATGTGGCTGGAAACAGATTCCAGATGGACTTGCTTTGTGAAATTCCCAGAAAATGAGCTGTGGCTGACCAGTCTCTGTAGTTCTCCAGACTCTCTTTTCTTGCCCTTCTTGAAGGCAAATGCAATATTTATCTTTTTCCAGGCTTCAGGAACCTGCCCCAGTCAAAGGGGAAGATGAGGGAAGATTAGATAGAGAGCAGATTCAAAGCTTAGCTAGAGAGCAGTCTCACAACAATATTGGCCAGTTACCTTAGCATGCCCAGATGCACGCTGTCTGGTCCCATGGGTGTCTGTATGCTGATTGGTTTAATCTACCAGGGTCAGCTACAGCAGGTTGCCCAGGAACATGTTCTGTTGGGTTTTAACTATCTCCAAGGATGGAGACAACCTCTCTGGGCAACATACTCCACTGTTCAGCAACCCTACCAGTAAAAAAACATATGTTCTTACATTTAGATGAAATGTGTTTAATGCGTTTTAACTTCTGCCCATCGCCCTGTTACTGGGCATCATTCAGAAGAGTCTAGCTCCACCTCCTTTAGACTCTCCCATCAGATATTTATAAACATTGATAAGATCCGCCCTGAGCCTTCTCTTTTCCAGATTACATAGTCTCTATCTCTCAGATGCTCCTCATATGAAAGATGCTGCAGTCCTGTAATCACATCCTTGTGGCCTTTCACTGGACTGATTCCAGTAAGTCCACGTCTTTCTTGTACTGGGGAGGCCAGTATTTGACACACTACAGTCATTGCCATTGTTAGAAAAGTCAATTGAAACAGAGGAAAAAACTTGTTACCTGTTTTCTGTCTCTAATTCATTCTTCCGCAAGTTTGCATCATCAAGAAGACTCTGCAACAAGGCAATCTTTTCATTGTCAGAACCTTCTTGGTTCAACTTTAACATCTTATTCTCATGCTGAAGGCGAATGAGTTTCTCCCTAAACACAAAAAATACAATTTTGTAGAAAAAAGTATGCCAATCTCTATAAGGAAGAAAACAGTTTACCACAGGAGGCGTAAATGTAACATAAAGATCACCTTTATCTATTTAAGGGAGACAGTTGAAACAACAATCATGTCTTCAAACCCCCAAATACAAACTTGATTAAAGAAGTTGTAGGAAGTTGCCTGACTGACCCTATTAGATCTCAGAGTACAATTGTACAGTTTCATAGGTAGAACGCAGAGAATGCAAAGCTTAGTGCCAATTGTTAGGGGAGGTTGTAATCTCAGCTGTCACTGAACTACTACATGAACCCAGATAAGTCACTTCTACCCTGTTGGTCTGTTTTCATAGTAGCATAGAATCACTTAGGTTGGAAAAGACTCTTAAGATCACCAACTCCAACCATAAACACTGCCAAGTCCACCACTAAACCATGTCCCGAAGTGCCACATCTACACATCTTTTAAATACCTCCAGGGAT